CATAGAAGAGCTAAAGATCTTGTTATTCTTCATAGAAGAGCTGAAGATCTTCTTTCTCATAGAAGAGCTGAAGGTCTTCTTCTTCCTCATAGAAGAGCTGAAGGTCTTCTTCTTCCTCATAGAAGAGCTGAAGGTCTTCTTCTTCCTCATAGAAGAGCTGAAGGTCTTCTTCTTCATAGAAGAGCTGAAGGTCTTCTTCTTCCTCATAGAAGAGCTGAAGATCTTCTTCTTCTTCATAGAAGAAATGAAGATCTTCTTCTTCCTCATAGAAGAGCTGAAGATCTTCTTCTTCATAGAAGAGCTGAAGGTGTGATGTTTGTTTCTTAAGTCTTTCGTTTGTGAGCCAGTCTAACTCAATTTGTGTGCATGTCTAGTTAATATGTTCGCTTCGCATATCATATCACAACAACAAAAACAATACAGGTTTTTAGAAACACAACATTCATTCATCCGAAACCTAACCTGGTCACAATAAAAAAAAATCTTCTTCAAGAGATCCGTTTCGAACAAGAAATTTAACATGTTCTTTCCCTCTTTTTTGTTCTTTCTAAAATTCTGCAACAACAAAAATTGTTGGTTAAGAAGTTAAAGTTACCGAATATAAAATAATAGAGGGGACCATAAGCCTTTAATAGGCCTTCTATTCATGGACTATCTTCCATCAGTTGACGATCTTCCATCATGAAACTCCTGAAGATCTGCCTGAAGGATGTATTCTTCTCATATAAATGATATTGTTTTTATAAAAAAAACTTATGTATGTATTATGTCCTGTGCGAACTATTTGTTTAGTCCTTGTATTTAATATTTAATACATTAATGCGACCCACTCTATTATATTTCATCCATGTGCTAATTATATTTAACAACTTTAAATTGATGCCTGTTTTTTATTGTAATTTTATTGTTTACTCAAATCATGTTGTTTTTGTTTTTCTTTTTTAACTTGAAAATTACAATGAACTCTAAACGGGGTAGAACCGACCAACCCAACAACAGCCTCATCAAACCAGTCCGACCACAAATACCCAAAGAACATCTTCAGCAACAACAGCAAAAAAACCAAACCAAATCAGCCACTAATAAATCTTCAAATCAAAGCAAGCATAAACATGACATTTAACATAATTTTTTTTTACTGGCAAACATATTTTTTCTTCTTCTTCTTCTTTAAAAGTCTGCATAAATTTCACTTTTTCTTCGAAGAAACCTTAAACCTCCGGTACTACTAAAATCTAAGCAATATTTATGTTATCTGCAAATGTTAATGACAAAACTGCGCTTTAAAAAAATATTATATTTATCACACATAAAATATCTTTGCGCAAAAAAAATTACGCTTTCTTAAATCTGAGCCTGAGCGATGGCCCTAGACAGTGGCAGACAGACATCAACTTACTTTTATTGTCACTCCAGCGAAGAGATTACTTGAGTGACAAAAAGTATATAAATTTTGTATAAGAAAAATAATAATGTAGGAAATAAATGTTTAGGAAGCGGGAGGTCTTTAAGCCTGGTTTAATAGTTACTAAGTTATCTAAGCTTTATCTGATTGCGTTAACTTCATAAAAAAAGAAGGTAATTAGAGGAAGCAGGTTGTCGGAAGTACATTTAAATATTATAAGTATACTTTTTTCGAAGTTCGGATTTTATAACAGTGTATATTTTGCATATTCAATAAAATGGCGCCCAATAGATCTTTGGATCGTTCTGGAAATAACTCGTTCATTGAAATTATTCCGAGAAAGGAAATATAGGAACAAGGTTCAGCTCTTTAGTTCATATAGTTTTTTTTTTTGATTTTGCTACTTTTTCCGACATTTTTCTTTTAATCCCATATTCTTTAAAAAGGATCGATTCCCTCCGTGAATTAAATGCCCCAACTCTAGTTTGTTCCAGAAATAACTCGTTCATTGAAGTTTAGTTCATATAGTTCCTTCTGATTTAGTCACTTTTTCCGACATTGTTCTTTTATTCCCATATTCTTCAATCTTCCCTCGATCATTTTCAAGGTGCTGCCATATTGTTAAATAATTGTATCCAACAATGAACTAACGCGGAGCAATTGGTACTATATGAATGATAAAAATGTTCGATAAAAAAAATATGGAACGAAAGAACTACTTCCTTTTCGCTCCATGACCTAAATATCCCCAACTATAGTGTCCAATTGCTTGAAATATATCAATAGAGTTGGCTCGTTCTAAAAATAACCAGTTCATTGAATTTATTCCGAGTAACAATTCTAATACTTCCTTTCTCAATAAATAACAAAAAAAGATTGATTCGCTCCGTGAACTAAATGACAAAATCTAGCGTCCAATTGCTTGGAATTTATCAAACGCTAGAGAAATACTACTACATATGATTATAATTTGTTTCGATGTCCGAATTTTATAGAAATGTTCAATATTCTTACAAATGGCGACCAATAGAGTTGGTTCGGCCCGGAACAAACCTTAAACTAGTTCCAGATCGTTATTTCATATAGTTACTTCTTGGTCCTCTTTCTGATCTTGTTTCTCTTTCCCAGAAAGGAACGATTGGAACTAGTTCCAGATCTTTAGTTCATATAGTTACTTCTAGACTTTCTTTCAGATTTTTTTTATATTCTACCTTTATTCCCATAAATAATTTCATCCAACAACGAATAAGCACAGAGCTATTGGATCTATTTGAAAAAAAACTAATAACAGTCAGACCTATATGAAACGTAGGTACTTTATTACGGAACTAGTTCTATCCCATAAAGGGAACAAAAAACAAATCCAACCCCTCCGTGAAATAGATTTTCTAGCACCTAATTGCTTAGAATATAGCATTACTCTGAGTATAATGTGTTCCAAGTTCGAATTTGTATAGATATGTTTATTTTGCATATTCTGTAAAATGGCGCCCAATAGATTTCAGATTTTTGGTAAAACTTTGCAGTTTAATGGAATATGTTCCAAAGGAGAGTTCTAGAGTATTAATTTCATATCTACCAAACAATCGATGTATTTCTTGCATGTTGTAAAGAGATATCCCTCTAAGTACTCTCCTCCACATTCCTTTTATCCCAGGATAGATGACTTTACAGGAAGTCATATCAGCTTAGAAGAGTTTCCGTTACTTCGCGCACTACCTTCTCAACACCATCGACCGTTTTGAGGTAATTTTTACCAATTATTACTTTTATTCAAATTTATTCAATTAATCGAAATCAAAAAAAAATATTTTTTTACAGCGTTCGTCTCGAACTATTTACTTTTCATGGTATTCCTTACTCGATTTTGGGACGAAATCATTACCTTTCATTAACAAAACAACCTGTGGCGAATATTTATTTTATACTTGACGTTATAAGCCACAACCTACCATATATGTGAGGGTATTGTTTTGAATACCATGTCAAATAAGTTAAAGAAAAATATATTTAAATTTAGTTGAATGAAAATTATTTTTAATGCCTTCATCTGGAAGTAATTACTTTGTTATCGAAGTAACAAAAATTTCATTTTATTTCCTTTTGCATTATGGGAAGAAATTCATGTTTTTCGATTTTTTAATTATTTGTTGAAAAAATGTCAAATAACCACTTGTTGTGTGTCTATATTTGACTGAAGAAGCCACTACGAACCTTGTTTCCTTTTTTTTTATTATTCACCGCAAGTTGTCCTACTTTGATATTGCCTGTTCCCATACTGCAAGAATCCACTATTTTTTCTTCGATAACTATCTTTCCTTTTGAATTCAAAATTTCTTATTACAAATTAACGCTCTCGTTTGCCTATGACATTATAACGATTAAAATACAACTCTGGTAATTCCGTAGCCTTGTGCTAACTAAACACAGCTACAATTAGCAGAAACAAAAACATTCAAAATTACAGCTTTTATTTGTTAATTTGTTTTATTATTTATTAATTTTTTTTAATAACTAAACTTTTTACATGACATTTTTTATATTTTTCCATAAATAAATAATTATTTTGATATATTTCCATTTTGTTACAACGAAAAAAGAATAAAGAAAGAAGAAGAACTCTGTTATTGTTCTTAAGGTAAATGATATCAATTTATTGTGATTGCCAGGGAAGAAGAAGCAACATTTGTTTTGTTCATGAAAAATAGACGAAAATACACATAAATCCCTGCTGTGCTAACAAAGAAAATTAATTTAATTGTTTAGAAAAAGATTGGACATTTTAAAATATATTTCCAGTGAAACGTGAACAAAGAGGGAAAACAAATAAATAACATAAAAGAGTGAAGAAAAAACAAAAATTGAGATTAACCAACGGAGAATATCTCAATGGCAAAAATCTAATGGTCTATATTTTGCATTGCTAATCTAATCCTGTTAAGGACAGTTGGGTTGGAAAATCCCCCTCCAAAGCACATCATAACGACCTTGACATTACTGGAATACAACAAAAGAAAGAAATCGTTTTTTCGACCGGCAAACAACTATCCAAGGAGCCACAAAATTAACGTCGCTCAAACATTGTTGCTATTTTTTGTTGTTGTTCTGTTTTCCTCCAAAAGGTCGTCAATTGCTGGTACTGTAAATTTGTTGTACGCTGAAGCCACATAAATCACAGTGGGGTGGGCGTAATAAGTACAAAAAATAACAAAATAAACAACTATACAAGAAATTAACCCCCGCCCATACTCTGCAAATCCAAGACAAAACAAGTGAATAGTGATTTTACTTATGTTCCAACATTTATTCAATTCTGCTAGTCGTAGTTGTTGCTGTCGTGTTTGGAGAAATCATTCAAAATTGTGTTGGATTGACATTTGTGGACACGATCCCCTACGACAACTGCGGCTGATACATCTGCGGGAATTGTCAGTCGAGCAGGTGTCACCGGTGGGGTTCGTAACTGGTTTGGATTCTCACCACAACAGCTATTGACACTGACCAAATATTTGCAACAGCTGTGCAGGGCATACGGTGGCAACAGCAACAACAACCAAAACGATATTAACACCTCTCCGTCTACAGGGCAAATGGAAATGTCCTCCTCAACGGAGGACGATACAAAAAATGAAACCGAGGTTGCAGTTCATGTGCCCTTAAAAATTAGAACTCATTCGGTGGTGGGTAGTTCATCAGATTCCGATGACTATACAGCAGAAGTGGCTGGTGCTTTAGTCGATGTAGAGGGAGTTTGCTACGCTGATTATCGGCTAGAACAATACGCTCATAGTGTATTGGATTTTAGTTCACAATATGGTATAGATTTGAGTATATCGTATACGGCACCAAACATAACCGGCAGGCCATCCAAATATCCCGAATATGGCGATTTTCCACAAACATTTGCCATGGTAGGTAACAAAAGCAAACAAAATATTTGTAATTGAAAATATTTAATCATCTTTTTTTTCCTTCAGCGCACCTATGGCGACTGGTGGGACAAGGCCCCCTCGCGCCTTAAAGAAATACATCCTCAAAGTTTACCCGCCGTACCCTCAGAAGATTTCATTGTGCTTTACTTCGAAGACTATGTTATACCCGATGAGATAGCAATATTTGAAACCTTTAATCCTGGTGCAGTTATACGCATATGGTCGTATACAATAACAAAGACTTGGATATGTTTATGGGAAGATATGGAATTTTATAGTAGACCTCCGTATACGGCAAATAGAGCTAGACGTTTCTCACCACCATTGAAAAGAATACAACTACCAACAAAGTAAGTAATGGACTTAGGTTTCCCTAGTTGTTAATATATGTTTGTGTTTGGTTATTTTTTTTTTTCAGAACTATAAGACTGGAATTCAATCATAAACGTCTTCATTATTACACCGAAATTGATGCAGTCCTTATGAGTGGTCGTAAATTTAATATGGGTAATCTACAGACCCTATTGGATTTTCATGAAAGGCAACGAAAAGGTAATCCAAAACGGTATTTTATTATAAAATGGGAAGGGACCTTTATGTGGGTCCAATATTCAGCACCCTCTAATATTCAAAATTCCAAAATATTGCGACAGAAAAGAAAAATCTAATATTCAGGAAATATTAAAAAAAAAAATTTTTTCTAATCAAACATTTTTTTCTAAAAAAAACAGTTTTGAATTTTTTCAAAATAAATATTTCCATTAAAAATATTTTTAAATAATTCAATTCGACTAACCCGTATATAACTGGGTTGTTGACTCTTAATTCTAGCTGTTTTGAAAACAAATTAATTTCCTAATATATTCTCTTTTATTATTTTTTTTCTTTCTTTCAGGTTCCATTCTCAGTAAATTACAAAATATGAAATTTCGTCCAATATGCAAGGATAATTATCAGACACGTTTACAGCACTTTCTCGATCATGATTTGGATAAATTTATGTCAGCTGTAAATGAGGTACAAATCAAAACCACCGCCAAGGATCAGGAAGTGACACGAGTTTCCAAAGTGGATTTAAAAGATATGCCGGTAAAACAAGAAATTAAAAAAAAAATAAAATTACAAAATATTAATCCCTATTTATATTTTTTACAGTTCGATATTGTCTTGAAAATCTTTAGCTATTTGGATTTAATTTCATTATTTCGTGTTGGCCAAGTGTCACGTTTCTTCTATGATGTCTCTACCCATCCACTGCTGTATAGTGAGATTAATTTAAAGCCCTATTGGCATTTAGCATCGTCTGAATTAATTTCCACATTGGCCAAAAGAGCAACGGTTCTAAAGAAATTAGATATGTCCTGGTGTGGTTGTACCATACAAACTGTGTCGCCAACGGAATTTAAAAAGTAAATTAGAGTTTTTTTTTTAATTTTTTAGAATTATTTGATCACTCTTTCTATCCATTTTCATAGATTCATCCAACAACGAGGTGATACACTGACCCATCTACGTTTAAATTCTTCGAAATTTTTAAATTCCAGTTGCATTGAGACAATTGGAATTGTCTGTGATAATTTAAAAGGTTTGTTGTTTTTTTTTTTTATAACTTATTTCGAAGAATTTTTTTTAATTAAATTCGTTTTTTGTATATTTTTTCAGAACTCTCTCTGAGAAATTGTAGCCTGAGTCCACCATTACTGAATTTCAGTTGTTTGGCAAATCTAAAAAATCTCGATCGTTTGGATCTATTTCAAACGGTAATAGAACAAGATTTACTATTGACCATGCTGGAGAGTAATCCAAAATTGAAACATTTAAATTTGGGTAAGTGATTTTTCCCCCTTTTTAATTTATTTTTTTTATTTAAAAACATATTTAAGAAATCAACTTTAAGGATAATCGTTGAAGACTGTGATTGGAAAAAATGCCCACAATCGTTATCTCCACCTCCATTTGTTTCTTTTATTTAACTTTTTTTCAAAAAAATTTACAGCATTTTGCAATGTTGCCGTTAACATGGACGATGTTGCCGTACACGTTTCCGAATACAATAAACAATTGATATCGCTGGATATGTGGAAGGCTCATTATTTGTCGGCACATGGTCTCTTGGCTTTGTCCAAATGTCATGATCTCGAAGAAGTTGATTTTGGTTGGTGGTAAGTCCTAATCTCGTCCGCATGCTTTTGTCAACATTTCTCATCACAATCGCACATTTTCTATTGCAGCTTACGTGAGGCTACTTTAGGTGACAGCCTAAAAGAATTTCTTATCAACTGTCCCAAAATTAAGAAATTATTTTTGGCAGCGGTGCGCGGTCTAACCGATCGTGATCTAGAAGATATTGCCAATTTATGTCCGAATTTGGAACAGCTGGATTTAATGGGCGTTTTGGGTATATCCAAAGAAAGATATTATGAGTAAGTTGAAATGGCAGGATATCTATGTGGAAACACTAATCCAAATGTATTTCTCTATTCCGGTTTTTTTCTAGTATTTTACAAAAATGTAAAAAACTACAATTAATGGATTTAAGTTTTTGCGATAACATAATGGACTATGAGGTATGGAGTTTCAATTTTAATATAATATCAATATTATGTATTAATTCATAAAATTTTTGTAATATGTTAAATGTTTTTATTATTTTTTTCATACATTTCCAGGTCGCTATGTGGTCTCAAAATTTCAATGTAAATATCAAATGTTGTCATGTACCTAACGATATAAGATAAGACCTCAATTTATAATAGTTTGTAAATGAAAAAAGAAAACATACCCAAGTGTATAGTCAAATTTTTAAATGAATATAAAAGGGAAGAAGAATAAGTCAAAACGAGAACGCCTTTATTTGCATACAAATTCTAGTTACTATTTCTAGTGAAAGCAAAGAGACAAACAAAACTATTAAATGTGTATAGATAGTTAATAAAATATATATACAAAAAAAAGATTTTTAATATTGTTTTATTAAAAAAAGTGGTCCTCGAAAAAATATTTCTAAAACTTCTTAGAGCCATAAAAATAATATTCCTTTAAAGAGAAAATAACTTCAAAAAATATTCATAAAAAATACTGATTTATGCAGGTCCTTCAAATAAGAAAAATCAATTCAAAATTCACGTGTGTGTTGGTACTCAAAAACATTATTTTAAAAATGGACATCTTTCTAATCTTTCACATCTCTCCTAATCTTTCTTTAAAATTATTAACTTTAAAAAATATTTTTTAAAATCCAAAAAAACTCAAAAAAAAAATATCAGTCTTCTTCAAAACCTTCACCCAACTTCACCCTTCCTATGGAAAATAGTTTTTGATCAAATTAAAAATTTCGTTAAGGGGACCCCACCCATTCTCGGCTTCAAAAAATTTAATTTTTTATTTTGATTTAATTCGAACCTACACTAATTCAAGATTGTCCCTATAAATTTTCAAGTGAAAATCTCAACAATTTTCGAAGATATAGCCGATTTATTGCATTAGCATCAAGTGACCACAAGAGGGCTTCCCAAACTTTAAACGCGTTTTTCCCAAACAGCGTTTTTGCGAATGGCGGGCACGATAACTCAAAAACTAATAACCCAATCGATTTCAAATTTTGGGACGTTTCTCTGTGAGTGTATAGCTATAGTATGAACTAGGATAAAGCCAATCGGTGAAGATCTAGTTCATACGAGAGCCAGACATGTACTCTTTCTAACACCATTGGAATTTTCGTATTCCGATGTTCCAGTGAGGATTTATCATGCCCGCCATCAAAAATAAGGACTTTTCTTTGATCACAAAAAAAAAAACAACAACATTTTTTTGTAAATTATTTTTCTTCCTTTTTAAATCTTCAAATATATATGTGCAAAGTTACAAACCTTAACAAGCATTGGTATTTATTTACCAGCCCATTTAAAATCTTAAAAATAAAAAATCTTCAAAATAAAAGTCCAGTTTTCGCCTTGATGTTACGCCTTTAGCTCTCACCTAAAGTATTGCTGCATGCAATTTAGTTTTCTTTAAAAAAATCCACGCCTATAGCTTTGCTAGATTCGGTATTGTTTTCTTTAAAAAATCTACGCCTAAAGTATTGCTATATGCAATTTGGTTTTCTTTAAAAAATCTAGGCCTAAAGTATTGCTACATGCAATTTGGTTTTCTTTAAAAAAAGCCACGCCTATAGCATTGCCAGTTTCGGTATTGTTTTCTTTAAAAAATCTACGCCTATAGCATTGCTAGTTTCGGTATTGTTTTCTTTAAAAAATCTACGCCTATAGCATTGCTAGTTTCGGTATTGTTTTCTTTAAAAAATCTACGCCTATAGCATTGCTAGTTTCGGTATTGTTTTCTTTAAAAAATCTACGCCTATAGCATTGCTAGTTTCGGTATTGTTTTCTTTAAAAAATCTACGCCTATAGCATTGCTAGTTTCGGTATTGTTTTCTTTAAAAAATCTACGCCTATAGCATTGCTAGTTTCGGTATTGTTTTCTTTAAAAAATCTACGCCTATAGCATTGCTAGTTTCGGTATTGTTTTCTTTAAAAAATCCACGCCCATAGCTCTAAACGATTTTCACAAATATCCCTAAAAACTATATAGATCCGACAGGTCCTCAGAAATATTTTTTTAAACATCCACGCCCAAAGCTCAAAATGGTCTTTATAAATAACCTTATAAACCCCACGATAAAAGCTACGACAAATCCTCAGAAATACTTTTTAAAACCTCCTCTAATATAACTTCATAAAAATCCTTAAAAACCCGTCGCTTATAGCTCTGAAATATTCTATAAAAATCCACGCTTACAACTCTCTTTTAATAATCCCCACTTATTATTCTGCCAGATCCCAACACATATTTTTTTTTACTTTTTTTTTATCGTACGTTCCCACGCCTCACTTTCCCACCCCTGCCGACCGAGGGGGCGACCTCCCCTTTCGTAGGGATCGCGTACGCATCATAATCCGCATTATGATGGAATATGAGAAGGGATAGAAAACCAGGGGGGTTACTCTGTATTGCGATGCGTGAGAAAAATTGTAACGCATCGCGTAATTGGTACTCTCTAATTCGTTTTAGTATCTCCTTTCGCATCCAGTTTACGCAAATGTGGCATCACCGCACTCTGTAATACGAAAACGCATGTCAAACTCGTTCGTTAAGCGCAAATATCTTGCGTTAACAAAATAGCAAACGCAAAGGAAGCGAAACATATGAGTAAGTTCAATTAATATTTTTATTTATATATAAATTGTAATTTATTTTAAGTAAAAGGCAAAAAAGTCAGAGCTGCAGACTCAGCAACATCAATTCCTAACTTAAGTAGATTTTATGGGGCAACACAGTGATTTGGCAAAGGGACAGTTGCAGAGTTCAAATGCGAAACAACGCGCCAACAATTTGTGGACAAAACTGTCTGATGACCTCAATTCAAATTGACCTCTTGTAAAAGATGTCGGTGGTTGGAAAAAGTAATTTATTATATTTTTTTATATAAAATGTGAAACTATGTGTGCATATTTACAGGTTGGTGTTGATAACCACCTTGTCCAAGCAATTTCAAAGCAGCGGCCTCTTTTATTGGAGTTGGAATTGGTGTGGATCCATTTGGAAAGACGAGCGTTTAATAAATACATAAACGAATCTTTATTGAGACGAACATTTTGTATAAATCTATAAAAATTAAATATTGGAAAACGTTTGTCACATAATTCGTACTTCTATTTTACTTATATATTCTCCCTATTTCACTTAGGGAGAATATATTTTATCGATCCCATAAAATTCTTTTTTTGTTTTTAATTCGTTCATCATTTTTGTTTAAAAAAACACTCGTACCACACAAAAATATGTTTTCATTTAAAAATTTTTGACGTTTCCTTTTGTCATTCTTCGTTATTGTTTACTTTGTGGCGACAGTGTTGCCCTATTTTCGATTTAATTTGCGAATGCGTTTGCGTGAGCGTTACAGAGTACCAAATTGTACTCTTAACGCATTTAGCTTTCGCATCGCACTTGCTTTCGCAACGCAATACAGAGTAACCCCCCAGCTACAGAAATCTACTTCAACAGCCAGTTTGTTATTAAGTTGTATTATTCATTTAAAAATATGATTATATTAGATTTTATTAGGTCTATATTCATGCAAAAGTCTACGTTAGAATACACAGAATTGAAATCAATACACATTTTACTAAGTGGATCTCCCATAGAATAATTTGTGCGATGAAAATCTACGTATAATGGTTGATAATATCTACTTGATCGAAAAGGAACATTTATTCTAATGGATGAAATTAGGAAGTCTGAGGGTATATTACCGCTTAGTATTTTAATTACTATCATAGTGTTCAACATAATACGTCTACTTTTTAATGTTGGCAATCGAATTAATTTTAACCTGCTAGTGTAAGAAGGCAACACAAAGTCACTATTCCAATGTAAACCTCTCAGCGCAAAAATTAGAAATTGTTTCTGCACTGATTCAATTTTATCGGAATAAATTGTATATTGGGGATCCCATACAACAGAACCATATTCTAATATGGGTCGCACAAGAGATGTAAAAAGTTGTTTTGTAATGTAGGGATCAGAGAATTCTTTAGCCCATCGTTTTATAAATCCTACGACACCGTGGGCTTTGTTTACCATAGAAATAACATGATTATTAAAATTTAATTTTGGATCCATTAAAATACCAAGATCAACAAATGAATCAACAGTTGATAAAACAGTACCATTAATATTGTATTGCCTTGTTAAAGTAGAAGATCTGGAAAAACACATATGCTTACATTTGTTTAGGTTTAAATCCATACAGTTTAATTCGCACCATTGAAAAAGGTTATTTAAATCATTTTGAAGTAAATCAGCTTGCTTCATGGAGTTATGGGTGATAAACAACTTGACATCGTCAGCATACATTAGCAATTTGGAGTGGATTATTGCATTTGGTAAATCATTTATAAATAGAAGAAAGAGGAGTGGACCTAAATGACTTCCTTGGGGAACGCCGGAAGGAACATTAATGGATTTGGAGAGACAATCATCAAACAAAACTACCTGTGATCTATTTCTCAAATAAGATGATATCCATTTAACTAAATTTATACTGAAACCAATTTGATTTAATTTATATATTAAAAGTTCATGGTTAACCCTGTCAAAAGCTTTACTGAAGTCAGTGTAAATCGTGTCGGTTTGATTACGCTGAATAAAACCTTTTATGACGGTTGAGGAAAATTGAATAAGATTGGTAATGGTTGAGAGGCCACTACGAAAACCATGTTGATATGGGCTTAAGATTGGCTGAACTTTATGAGAAATTACATCAGTAATCAGTTTTTCGAATAATTTTGGAATTGCACTTAATTTAGCAATTCCTCTATAATTCGAGACATTAGTTAAGCTACCAGATTTTTGTAAAGGAACTATATAGGATTTCTTCCAGAAGGTCGGAAAATGACTATATTTCAGGGAATAATTAAACAATAGCGTTAAAGGGATAGCTAATGTATCTGAACAGTACTTTAGAATTATGCTAGGAATGCCATCCGGACCTGGACTTTTAATTGATCTTAAATTACGTAGATTTTTAGAAACATATTGACTTTGTAAAAAAGGCATAGATATTTGATCTATCGTCGATAATTTATAACTATATGTATCTTTATTTGGACAGGGTGAATATGAATATGTTGTAGCGAAAAAATTTGCAAAGCACTCTGAAATTTCAGAGTTTTTCTCAAATGTCTGATTATTGAATTTCAAGATGGTGGGCT